CATCAGAGGGGTGACCCTATATTAAAATCCTGCACAACAAACAACAAAAAAGGCCTTCTCCACCCCACCCCTCAATGAGGTTGCGTCAGGTAAAAGAAATTGAGGGGGATTAGAAGAGTAATTTTATGTGACACAATATAAATCCATATTCTGGTGCTAAGAATAAATTTCTCATGTGGGCCAGTGCTCAGAGGAATCCTGGGCCTTAGTTCTGAATTACGCATTGGAATTATGCATTGCAGAAATCAGCTCTAGGCATCCTTGGGGCATCTGTTTGGCTGATGTGAAAACAGGATGCTGGACTACATTAGCCTCATTCATCCCAACATAGGTGCAGGGCTCATCTGATGTTCTTATGATGCCCCTCCCCATAGTCATTATTTTGCACCAGGCTCTGGTTTAACTAGAAGCTTGGGTAAAGCAAAGTAGGCCCTGAGTGTCTAATAGTGATAGAAGGGGCAGAATTGAGAATTTCATCTTAACTGAGATCTCCCATTTTTGCTTGTTTGACCCACCCGCTTTATCCAGCAGCACAGGTGATAATGGATGGGGTCCAAAAGGGACGGCCAATGCCCAGATTAAAGAAATGGCACCTAGTGGTCAGCAGCAGAACAAGCACTTTAATGTAGAGTCAAACAGCAATAGGAGAAGGGGAGAGAAAATGGCTCTCTCCTCCCCTTAAAAAGGTATGTGGTAAAAGTTTTTTAAAAAAAGTAAAAAGTGGTAAAGGTATGAATATTTACAATAGGTGGTCATGTAGCCAAAGAACGTGAAATGGATCCAATTCCAAGTTACTGGGTCAGATAAACAAAAACAAGACATGGCATGTTCACACCTGATGAAAACCTATTCAGCACAAAGGAGGAAGAATGGTGGGCAGTTTAGTGTGGTCCTCCATTGGATATGTTGGACCCTCTTGCTGCAGCGATGAGGAGTGATGTCACAAGCACACGTGGCGTCACAAGCACGCACTGGGCACCCATAATGTTCGGTGGAACTCAGCAAGCTTGATTTTTAACTCCCCTTTTGGATTTTTATGTTTTGAACAGCCCTGGGATCTTCAATGGACAATTGCCCTGCTGCAATTGTCCATAGAGGCATTATTTCCTTTCCAACAATATCTCTAGCTCTTGGAATGTATTTGTTGGGCTGGAGAGACAGCTAGGGGATGTTGATGGTGTATGAACCATGCCCGGGGCACCACTGACTGAGCTGGCACAGGTGGTCTCTGGCATAGTTTTGGAGGACCATACCCATGCAGAACTTGCCATTGACCCCAATTAGGACTTAAGGGCTTCCATGACAATAACTGGATTTACTCAAATGGGCACACACTTGAATTCAAGATTGGGATGCTGCAATGCACTCTCTCTGGGTCTTTTACTGAGAGTTTCAGTACTTTTATTGGTTTTTTGAATTCATTGTATAGGTCCAACATTTGCCTAAAAACCTCCAGGGAAGGAGAGCGCACAACCTCCAGAGGGAGACGTTCCACTGTCAAAGAGTTTTTACTGTCAGAAAGTTTATCCGTATGTCTAGTTGGAATCTTGTTTCCTGCAACTTGAAGCCATTGGTTATCACTCCTCGTTTGGAGGTAGGAAAATGGCATGTAGGGAAAGTTCTGCTCTCATCTCCAGCTTGTGGCCTTCCCTTTGTGTCAAGTGGTTGGCCATTGTGAGAACAGGATGCTGGACTTTGTGGGCCTTTGGCCTGATGCAACCTCAGGGCTCTTCTGATGTCAGTCATGTTTTGCCAAAGTCACCTTTACCCTTGATGATCTGTGGCAGCCTTTTGAGTAAACATGTTTTCTTCGGCTCTGCACCTGCTCCCATCAAGTTTCAGGGGAGATCTTTCTCCCTTTACAATCATCAGAATCACAGTGAGCTATTTTTATTCTTTCCTGAGTCCAAGTAGCACCCACCCCTGCGCTTGAATATTGCCTTTGGGACAAATAAGGTAAATATCGCAATTAAGGGCAGCAGGAAGTTTTTTATTCCACTGTGCCAGAAAAGTTGGATCTATAAGATATATATTGTGTCACAAAATCTAGGGGGGCAAGATATAGAGCAGGTGAAGTGAGAAGGTACATTTGTCAGTTTACTGCAATCTCTGATTTGCATGAATTTGGGGCTTCTTAAGACCAGCAGCTAGTGCTGGGTGGAACAGCTACAAGGAAAGCGTAGCAGGTAGATCCAGAATGATAACACTTCTTCTGTTCCTGCCTCTTGCAACCAGTGGGATGCAGCAGAGGACAAAATGCCCACTGAATCCAATCAAGGAGCGAAAATTAGCTGCAAATTTTTACCGGCTAGCAGACCACCTCATTAGTGGGGTCACATTTTCAGGATTCTTTAATGCTCAATTTCCTTTCACCTTTTCCAGCACCCCTGTCAGCAGACTTGACTCGTAAGTAATGATGCATTGATATATTTCTGCTTCCTACGTAGTCTCCATTTCCCGTGATACACTTGTTTTCTGATACCCTTGAAAATTTTCATTTCATTTCATTTATTTAAAGAGTTCTATGTTTCTGTTCAGATGGTGGCTAGGAAAACCCAACCAGAAATTATTACTCTTATTGCTGAAAAGCCATGTCGCAACATAGCTTATAATGTGTTTTAAGTAATTAGTAGTATTTTTGACATGTACTGCTTTCCAAAGCATAACGTGTTTTCTAAAGGGTTGGAAGTGCTTTGGGATGTGTTCAAGTTGCAAGTTTTCCTTAGTAAATAAAATGTGAACACCTTTCTTTCCCCCATGAACAACAAAATCTATGCAACTGCAAATCGTAAATGTCAACTGTGCTTAGTCATTTACAAAGCAGCCTGGGGGTCAATTTGGCTCAAGGGACTTTTGGTAAGTCACCAGAAATGAGGCTGATTTGTGTTCTAGTCTTCCCTCCACACTCCTCCCTTGCAAAGCTACTACAGACACAGGTACAAGTAGACCTATGTCTCTCTTTGCTCTACTTCGTCACCTATTTTCCTAGCTGCTTTTATACAAGAAAGAATGTGACTTTCATTTTCACTGAATTGAGGCTGACTGTGTGACACACTTTTTTCGCAGGTGGGTGGATAAGAAAAACTCACATGTTATTTCCTTCTCCTTTGCTGTTCGGGATATTAATCACAACCCCAGGATCTTATCCAACATTACCCTCGGCTACAGCATCTATGATAACTATTCTGAGGGAAGACTGACTTCTGACTCCATGACAGACCTGCTTGCTGGTGGGAAAATCAATATTCCAAACTACAGCTGTGGAAAGCAGAAAAGGCTGCTAGCTGTTCTTGAAAAGAGTGAATTTGACATCTCCACACACCTTGCAAGCATACTGGGCATCTACAAGATCCCACAGGTAATCAATGGGTCCAAGTGAAAAGTGAAACACACCTGGCAACATTAGCCACATGGTTGTTGTTGTTGTTGTTGTTGTTGTTGGCATCTGTCTGTCTTGACAGACAATGGAGTGAGCCTCTGGGATGAAGTCAAACCACTTTGTTACCAGTATCTAAGTGACCTCCACAGTGTGCAAGCCTGGGCAGTGGGTACGGAAGTCCTGGGCTGCCCAGACGACAAGACCTCCCTCTCAGCCTCACTGCTGTGCGCCAAAGGAAAGCAGAGCAATACATTTGGCACAAGCTTGGCTGCAGGAGTTGCTGGAAGGAGGCAAACAAAGCACCACTCAGCTGACTTAGGATTTGTGCAGTGTTTACTCCTTAGCCTTTTCTTCACCCAGATGTTGGAGGGGATGAAGGGTTATGGAACTCCCTTGCAGTTGAGGACAGACAGACCCCTTTCCTGTTGTCTTTCTTTCATTCTTTCATTCTTTCTTCAAATGCTTTATTGAATTCCACAAGAAAGTGTACATTCAGAAAAAGAAAAATGCATATCCCCACATGATTACCTTCTTTCATTATAAATAACTTTTATAACGACTTCCCATCAGCCCATTGCGGATCCTAAATGCTTTTAACGTGTCACACTTTTTTTTTTAATCATTCCAAATGAATCTCCATTATTTTGTTTTCCTATGATTTTCTACATTTCTGCAGCAGTCACTGCAGACCTACCAGTGAATTCATATTTTTACGGTGCTCACTGAGATATTTTCTATACAAGTTCCATTCTCTCCTAAATGTTTGCTCCAGCCATTTCTCTTGCCACTCCAGTTTGGTCGGGATTGAGTCTCCCTTCCAGTTTCTGGCTATTAACAGTTAAATACCAGCGATAGAGCATTTTCATAAAATTTTCTTTCAAGGTACAGCATGCAGTAAACCTCAGATCTGTCACAGCTTAAAATTAGCCGCTGTTTCTTTAATACCAAAGTCAGCATGAGTCAGCGGCCTACAATGAATCGGCAAAGCCTGCATGACTCATGAACCTTTCACCTACAAATATCTGTATATATAGAGTGGTCATTGATTGTATGTGGTGGAGGGTTGCTTGAATGGCAGAAAGTTGGCTGAGTTTGGTGTATGTATAAAGCTGTTAGTCATGGTTGGAGGAGACGTCTTTTAAGAATAAAAGCAGCATTCTGCAACGTACTCTTTCTCAAGGACTCCTTGTGCTGACTAGGGTCTGAGGACCAGGCAAAGAAGGTCAGAACTCGTTCCTTTTCAAATACTGACAAGATCTTCCTTCCACAATCCTTCTCATGCTTCCATGGGGATATTAGATCCAAATTCTTAGGCCCATTTGACCATCCTACTGACTTTCTAAAGCCTACAGAAAACTTTTCTTTTCTTTGCTTGCAGCAGGCATTTTAATTGAAGTTTGATTATTGAGTTTTACCTTCTTGATCATTTTTTTATTGACTTTTTTTTCACTGCATAGAGAATTTTGCCATTAATCGGTATAAGAATTGCTTGAACTTTTAAAAAATGTTGTTTAAATTCCAAAAAAAAGTGATGTTTGAATAAATCTGTCGGCATCTTTTACACAGAAGTACCCAGTCTTAATCCTGAAATACAAGCCACAATTCTCTCTTTTTTTACCAGCTCAGTTATGGCTTTGTTCTTTCTGATAAATTCCAGTCCCCTTTTGTCTACCGCATGACACCAAACCAAGAAACGCAGTACCAGGGGATGGTCCGACTCCTCCTGCATTTCAGGTGGACGTGGGTCGGCCTCTTTGCTCCAGACAATGACAATGGGGAAAGCTTCCTGAGTACCTTGACACCTCTAATGAACAAAAGGGAAATTTGTGTTGCCTTCACACAAAGAGTACAACGAGAAACGTGGCTATGGATACCCCATGAAGCACCTGCCCTGTGGAGACAAGTCAATGTATTTGTTTACTTTGCAGACTCTCAAAGTGGACTTTTCATAATCATAGAGGTTGAGTCCTTACTTGAAAGGATACAAACTGGGGGGAAAGTCTGGATAATCACAGTTCCACAGAACAAAATTTTCTTATGTGATATTGACTGCTTCCAGTATGCCCATGGCTCTTTGTCCTTTGTAATGAAGACCAAAAAAAGGATGAAGAAGGACTATTATGGGCCAATGTCCTTGGCTGGTCAACAGTATTCAGAAGAAGCATTTGATTGTTCATATTCAAAGCATGTCTTGTCTGTGAGGGGTATGAACAAATGCAGAGAGAAGGATAATGTGAAGATGCTGCCCCAGGAAGAGATTGAAAGAATCCAGTCCCAAGACAGCTACGTGAATTACCTGAGTATCCAAACTGTGGCTCAGGCCTTAAATGTTGCCTATTCATCCTGGTCAAAGAGGATGTCGATTGTGGGTGGAGGCAGTTGGGAACTTCAAATGCTACAGCCATGGCAGGTATGTCCATTTCTTTTTGCAAAGTGGAATTTGTTGTCCCAACTCTGAAATCACAAAGAAAGGATCATCGGGAAGTGTCTTGCACTGTGACAAAACACTGGTTAGTATTGTCTACATTGACTGACAGGCCTTTGACATTGTTTCATCTGCGGGCAGAAGTCCATCAGAGTTTCTCTCATCCAGGACCACAATACCTCAAGGACTACCTCTCTCCATATAACTCTTCAACTTGGCCCTTGTCTGAATAACATCTTATACCCATTTTAAATGTGTTTGTGTGATGGGTTGGGGGAGGGTTGCTATTGGGTTGTGTGGTGTGTGTGTTCTTTTATCATGTATTGTGCTTTTATATTCTTATATTCCTTATATATCTTTATATTCTTTGATTATCAGTGTGCCACTGAATAGCCTTCTTTAAATAGTTTCATTGTGCTGCAGAAAGATGACTTCATCCTTCATTGAACTTAGTGTTCTTCCTTTAATAAAGCCATGTTCATCATGTTTTACATATTTTCCCAAACACCTTAGAATCATAGAATTGTAGAGTTGGGTGGGCCATGAGGGGCATCTAGTCCAACGCCCTGCAATGCAGGAATATTTTGCCCAACATAGAGTTCAAACTCGTGACCCTCAGATTAAGAGTCTCTCGGTCTAGCGACTGATCTGTCCCCACAAATCAACCTTTCCTAATATGTGTAATAATGTTGATTTTTGTCACCCCAAAAAGAAGATTGAGGCTGAAGAAGATTGAGGGTGTCTAATAACCTAGCGTGCTCTGGTCCATGGGGTCACGAAGAGTCAGACACGACTAAACGACTAAACAACAATAATCTAGCATGGTTAGATAATTCCAGGTGAGAGATACAGTGGTTCTTATTTAGGGAAGATTAGGATGCAGAGGGAACATGAAACCATGTTTATAATGCAGCCCTGCTTACTCATTCCTTGATTTCCCTCTGTCATTCTAGTTTCATCGTTTCTTGAAAGAAGTCCAGTTCTACTCTAATACTTCAGCTGATGGGCAGTACTTGGATGAGAATGGGGCACTGGCCATTGACTTCGATATTGTGAATTGGGTGCTGTTTCCTAATTACTCTCATGATAGAGTGAAAATTGGGAGAATAGAGAGACAGAAGTCCTCAAATCTGAAGTTCACCATTAACCCAGAAGCAATTGTGTGGCCCAAGCGATTTAAGAAGGTAGGAAAAATTGGATCTGTCATTTTATTAACTATGACATCTGCTATGCTCTAATAACATTTTGAATAAAACATATGAGGCTTTGACTGCAATCTTGTAGATGTGTCCTTGGAGCTAAGTCCCAATGAGTTTAGAGGAACCTGCTCTTGAGTAAACATGTATATAATTTCAAAGTAAATAGGAGAATCTCCAAAGCAGAGCAGAACACATTTTCCCAACCTGGTGCCCACTAAATATTGTGGACTACAACTCCCATGCACCCCAGCCAGCATTGTGCAAAGATATCTGAGGGGCACCAGGTTAGGTAAGGCTGGAGTATAATAAGGTATTCCACTTCTGTTTGGGCATAGAGAAACTGGGCACGAAATTCTGCACTAGGTGC